CGCGCCTCGCGCGGGCCCCAGTCTGCGTGGCCCCGCCCCAACAAGGGGCGGAGCCGTACCGAGGGGCGTGGTCAGAGAACTGGAGTGCCGAGCTCCCCTTCTTAGTCTGGAACCGCCCAATGGAGGGGGGGGGGGCAGGAGTTCAGTCACGTGATCTGCGAGAGGTTTCACCTCCCTTATGACTGTACCATCTCTGCCAGCCCCAGGGGGGGATGCTACTTCCTTTTTAGAAGCAAAATATTTATTTTAGTTCCACTTGCGTCTAAATAGTGTAGAATTCTATCTTCGTTGCGACTAAGTCCGTTTTTACCTCTAAAGTGGTGTTTCCTATTCTGGTCTCCCCCCACAAAGTAGTGGTATCGCCCAACCGGGCCCTGGGCGCGGCGGCGACGGCCGCGTCACTGGCGGGCGGGATCCCTCCGCTCTGGGGAGAGCAGCGCTGGACGGTTGAGTTGGGGCGACTGAGGAAATCCATCCGCGTTGCCGCCGCTGCCGCCTCCGCCGCGGAGGAAGACAGGACCGCCCGCGCTCTTCTAGCGACCCCTTCGCAGAGTGCCGCCGCCACAGGTACCTCCGCTAACAAAAGGAGTCCTCATCACCCCCAGCCCCAAATTCCCGTGGGGGAGCCTCTCTTCCTCATGTCTCTCCAGTCTGGCCTCTTGGGAGCGGACGTAACTCCCCAGACCTCCCCTCCCTTCCTCTGGCCTGTCGCTTCCAAACCCGGAAGGGAAACTAGGGGGGACCCTCAGCCCCCAATAATGCATGAGCTCGCTGCACATTAAGCCGCATTTTACCTAACCCCAGACCCCGTCCCAGCCCTGTCTGCCTTTTGCTCTCGTAGAAGTTGGGGGGCTAAAATCCGGGCTTCCTCTAGGCCCTGTCCCGCCCCCTTTCCCACTACCATCCTCCCGCCTGCCCCTGGGTAGCACCCCTCTTGTCCTGTTTCGAACCCCTGCTCTCTTTCGTCTTGCAAAACTAGAATCTTGGGAGAGGCTGGCAAGGCCGCGAGGCCACCCATTCCTTCGTCTCCACCCTACCCCTGATTTGGTTCTGTCGGCGGTTTCTAGCCTCATTGCATTAAACCGGAGACCTTGGTAGTCTATTCCCTTTTCCTAACCCCAAAACTAACTCGGGCGCCTGCTCCCGCCCCGCTTTCTCGTGGGCAACATGGAGGTCGTGGGGCCGGAGGGCCAGGCCCACTGCGCTTCGCAGCGCAGCACTAGGCTTCCAGCTGCTAGATCCTGGGACCCTCCTGACCTCTCCTTTCTCCCAGACCTCCGGAGACGGTGGGACTCCGTTTCTCTTTCTGGCCCCGGCTGTTGAATCCCCAGAGTCCAGGGGCTGTTGAGGGGCCTCTGGGGGGAGATGGGGACTGTGGGCTGGGAGCGACGCCCCCGCCCCCAGCGGTTTCCTCCTGGCCTGCTTCCTTCTGCCCGGACTTCTGGCGTTGCAGCTGGAAGGAAGGGGCTTTGTCCGGACCTGGGGGTCAGGTGGGGTAGGGACCTGTAACAATCCCCCCTTTGAGGGGCGTCCCCTGGTGCTGGCATAGAAAGCTGAACTTACAGAGGGGAAATGTCAGTGGGGAAGAGGAACGCCCAGTGTCTGGGGGAAGTGGGAGCTGGGTGGGGGATGCCTGGGTCGGCTGAGTGCAGTGTGCAAGGCCAGATCGCACAGGTGTCCAACGGGAGACAGGGTTCCGGGCCCTGAGTGGAGCCAGCCAGGCCCTGGGGCCCGGGTTCCACGAGCCCCGCGGGCTGGGCTCCTGAGGTGTCGAGGGCGCTGGAGCCGAGCCACCTGGGGCTGTCTGCCGACGCCTGGGAGGGAGCAGCTCCGCGCCTCGGGGCCGGGGGCCTCTCTTCGGAGCCCTAATTACTCGAGAGCGGCTCCCACGGGTTCTGCAGGCGCGGCGAGGCTGGT